AAAGAAAGAAAGAAAGAAAGAAAGAAAGAAAGAAAGAAAGAAAGAAATGAATATGAAGAATTCAGACTGGCAGAGGAAAACTTACATGAACTGATGAAGAATGAAGCAACCAGAACCAGAAAATCAACATCGGTGTCTATAAATAGCACAAATGGAAACAATGACAACATAAAGAAATAATGTTGCATAATTATAATGGTCAAATCTGGCCCCGAAAAAGAGATGAGAAAACGTCCCTCTTCCCTTTCTTCACAGAGGTGGGGGACTATGGGTGTGGATCAGTGTATATGCTGTCAGATTAGAGTGATTTGTTGTTGAATTTTGCTGAACTATTCACTTCCCTCTTTTTTTATTCTTTTGTTAAAAGGGAAGAGGGGAGGAATATATTTGGAAATGAAGGGGATGTAAAAAAGAGATATCAATAATTTTTTTTGTATTTTTTTTTCCTTTTTAGGCAATTGGGATTAAGTGACTTACCCAGGGTCACACAGCTAGTAAGTGTCAAGCATTTGGTCTGAGGCCAGATTTGAACTCATGTCCTCCTGACTTCAGGACCGGTGCTCTAACCACTGCGCCACCTAGCTGCCCCAATAATTTTTTTTTGAAAGGAGAGGCAGTATGATATAGCAGAAAAGATACTGGGCTTGGAGTCATGAAAACCAGAGTTCAAATCCCATCTCACGCAATCATTAATTCGAGAGTTACTATGCTCTCAACGAACTTCCTAGGACTTATCTTCTAAGTCATAGTCTGGCTGAGTTTTGAATTAGTGAAGGAAATTTCTGCACTGCAGTTCCCCACATTGACAAAGATATCTTTTGTGCACAGATGATGAAACTGAGATTTGCCAGTGACAGAATTCAAACCCAGGTCTTCTGGCTCCAAGTGCATGAGCTCTTTGCTTTATGCTTTAGGCTCCCTCTAGACAGCTGGGAGGGGGGAACACAGAGGATGGAGTACTTGGTCTGGAGTCAGGAAGACCTGAGTTCAAATCCAACCTTAGGCACTTTCTGTCTGCCTCAGTTTCTTCATCTGTAAAATGGGGATCATAATAGCACCTACTTTCGAGGGTTGTTGTGAGGATCAAAGAAGATAATACTTTAGTACCGTGTGTGGCACATAGCAAGGATTTGGTAAATCCCCTTCTCTTTCCCCACCCCTTCCCTGTAGGTATTTAATACACAAAGATTTGAAATGTCATATTTTCATATCTAACAAGAGACCAGTATCGTTCAGTCCAATCTGGGGCACCGGTTCTATCAGAAAGGTGAAAAGCTCAGGTAAGAGGATTCAGGATTCAACTAAATGTTACCCCCTTCCTTCCTGGAGGAAAGTGGCAGGTTATAGCCTTCCTGTGTATATACGCCCCACAGGCATAGACCAAGAGCAGGAGTGGGGAACCTGCAGCCTCAAGGCCACATGGGGGCCCTCTAGGTCCTCAAGTGCGGCCCTTTCACTGAATCTAAACTTCACAGAACAAATCCCCTTAATAAAAGGATTTGTTCTGTAAAACTTGGACTTAGTCAAAAGGCCGCACCCGAGGACCTAAATGGCCACATGGGGCCTCAAGGCCTCAGGCTCCTCACCCCTGGCCAAGAGGATCCCAGGGACTGGAGACCCAAGAGGCCACGGATAACCTGGATAGAGGCTGATGCTCATGAGCAGTGCCTGGAAAGAAATCATGCCTCAACCTCTACCCTCTACCTTGTGCCCACACGCATAAACTTACCCTCCAGCCAGGCATCTGCCTGAGCTGAGGCACCATGGGGCCCAGCTAGGGCTGTGAGTTCCAAAGTGTAGTGGCCAGCAGGAAGAGGGCCTGGGAAGGTGGCGTTGAGAGCCTCAGGTCCCAAGGTACTGTTCCCCTCAACCTGCCCACTCAGTCGTAACAGGTAGCCGTCCCGGTGCCCTGGCCCTGCCTGCCAGCTTGCCGAGAGCCCAGGGGGCCAAGGAGTCAGCATCAAGTCAAAAGGGACAGAGGGATCTGTGGGGAGAAATCAAGGAAAAGCATGGAGGAAGAGAAAGATGGAGGGGAAGTGGAGGGTTAGAAAGTAGGTGCTATGTTTTAGGGGGGTACCATATACCCTCCTATCTGAGTGCCCCATTCTTTCTATATCCAGTGACCCATCCAGATGTTGGCAGCCACCATGTGACGTGTTAGAGAAGAAGTGGGCTCTTACAGCTACTGCTGGTGACGAGCACCTGGATAGCTGGAAGGGGAAGCCATGTAATTATATGCCCTTTCACTGTGGGGTACCCAGGTGCTCACTTCCAGGGACAGCCTGGCGACTTGCCCCAGAGCTGTTTCCCCGGAGAGGAATGGCCAATTTGCCTTTCTTGCCCTGCTCCCCCAATAGCACTCACAGGTCCACTCAGTGGCACTGGGTCCTCCAATGTGGAAGAGGCCGGCAGAAGCATTGAGTGACAGCTGGTAGGGCGTGCCCGCGGAAAGGTTATAGAAAGTGTGGTTGGTGGTTCCCCGCAGGGCCACAGCTGTGAGGATAGTACCACCCAAGAGATCCAAAAGGGTCAGATGAAACCACGCTGCCCCCTCAGCCCTGCTCCAAGAGGCCTGAAGGGCACTGGTACCCATGGCAAACAACACTAGATGTTCTGGGGGTATTGGAGCTGAGGGGCAGAGAGAAAAATGGTTAATCTCAAGAAAGACCCAAGGATCCCAGACCATAAGAGCTAGCATGCCCAATCCCCTCATTTTACAGATGAAGAAACTATGAGATTTTAAGTGACTGGCCCAGGATCACACAGCTAATGTCTGAAGCAGGATTCCAACTTAGTTCTTTGTGATTTCAAATTCAGGACTTTACACCGGCCCTGGATTCAGGAGGACCTGAGTTCAAATCCAGCCTCAGACACATAACACTTACAAGCTGTGTGACCCTGGGCAAGTCACTTAACCCCGTTGCCTAGCCAAAAACAAAACAAAACAGAACAACAAAAAAACAAAAACAAAAAACAAATTCAGGACTTTATCCACTATGCCACCTAGCTGCCTAAAGAGTTAGGAAATGGGGGAAGCTGGCACTGAGCGACACATGGAAGAACAGAGAAACTAGCTTCTTTCCTGAATACCCTGTCTAGGAGGTTCTGCCCTACCTGCCCTCTCCTCACCCCAACCTCCAAGGTGCCAGGTCCCTGAGGACATAACTCCAAAGGTAACTCAGGATCCTCTCCTTACTTGTCCACTGCCGAATGCTGGTCTTGGCATGAAGGTCACCAGCCCAGGTCGTGACCCATAAGGCATATTCGCTGCCTGGCAGGAGACTGTCAAAATGGCAGGAGAGAGTTCCCGGAGTCACCGAGATGTTCCATGCCAATGTCCGGGACTCCAAGTGGTAAAGGAGAAGCTGGTAGCCATCTAGTTCTCCAGAAGCAGGCTCCCAGGTGGCCTCTAGCCTGGAGGGGCTCCCAGAGTTGTTGAGCGTCAGGTTGTGGACAGGCGAAGGTGCTATGCCAGGTACAGAAAAGGAGATGTCCAGTGGGCTAAAGGAGTGAGGGGGAATGTACCCATCTCCCCTCAATTCCCAAAATTCTGTCCAGACCCGAAATTAGATCATCCTACTAAATCTGGTCCCTGAAAAACTGCCCATCTCTGCCCAGTTCCTCCCCTCTGCCAATTCGCTTGAAGATGCCCTTTGCCTGGTTTCCTTTGTCTCCCACTGATGCTACTCACTCGTCTGAGCTGTGAGGGTGACGGTGGAATTCTGGGAGCAGGGTAGCTGCACTGTCACCTCAAGTTGGTAGTGGCTCCCAGGGACCAGGTCCTGGAACTGGAAGCCACTGGCATTGGGGCAATCTGGAACTGCAGCTTCTCCAGGGGGGCAGAGAGGCCTAGATGGGTAAGACGGAGAACATAGCCCAGCCCGGCAGGGACTCCAGTCCCCCAATTCAGGACCAGGCTCGTGGGCTGACCTTGACTACTGACGTTCACCTGCAGGGGCTATCCTAGAAGAGGAGAACAGGTCCATGATATCACAGAATGTTAGAGCGGGAAGGATCATGGCAGTATAGGATCCAGAGGGAGAAGGAACCTTAGAAGTCAACTCATCAGCTCATTTGTTTTACACAAGAAAAAACTCTGGCCCAGAGGGGAAATTTGATTTGCCACTGGCAGAGGAACCCAGATTTCCTGCCTTTATGCATAGCATCATGTGCCCTCCAGTGGGGGTGTGCCCCTCCAGCCTTACAGGAAGCTAATGCCCGTGTAAGAAAGAAGCCAAGAGGGAGAAAATATAACCATCGGACAGGGTAGGCGGAGTAGAGGGCACTGAAGATGTGGAGAATACCAGCCGATGTTGGAAACTCTCCCATGGCACTTTCCAGGGACTTATTTGAGCACCTACCTCCATGCTCACTTTCTGCGGGCACCTCCACCTGGTTGCATCCATCATCGTCCTGCAGGAAGGAGAATCATTGGGACAAGTGGCTCAGCACCCAGACTTCTCCGTTGGGATGGGACAAGAGCAGAAGAGAAGCTAAGAAGACAGGTCCAGAGGCAAGGAAGAAGCTCTCCGTTGTCGCTGATGCCCCTGACACAACCACTACAGCTCCCAAAGGGGCACCCGGAGTTTCTAAGGCAGCAGCCAAAAGGCAGTGGAAGGAAGACTGGTCTCTGGTCCGCCAGCAGCCAGCGCAGGAACAGCCGCTGGGCTAACCTAATGCAGACCAGCTGTGGGGCTGCAGGGACGGCAGCAAGCCCAGAATCACCCTCATGGTCAGAGCCCCTCTTGCCATCCCAGCCATGCCCACCTTACCTCTGCTAAGGTTCCCCTGAGCCAGAAGAGGACAGTGAATAAGAGCCTCATACCGAGCCTGAAAGGGATAGTTAGGACACCGTGGGGGTGGAGCCGGCCCCTCCCATCCACCCACCCACCAGCCTCCCGGCCCAGCCTGTTGGCCGAGAGCAGGAGGCTGCATGAGCCAGAAACAGGGGAGCTTTGCCTACCTAAGGCCTGGCTTTGAGAGGAGGGCATCAGGGCTGCCAGGTTGAGGCCGGGGCAGTGGAGAGGGTATGGCACACAATGAGGACAGGCAGGGGTGAGCTCCCCCATGTCTGGCCTCATTTCCGTCCTGATCCTCACCTCCATCCCTAATGCCAACCCTAACCCTTTCCCTGATTCCTTCCTCCTCCCTTTCCCAATCTCTCTCTCCCTCGGTGGGCCAGGCTTGTGGGAGAGGCATGCAAGCCTGCATAAGATAGAGGCATAGATGGAGCCAGAAGGACCTAGGCTTCAGATACTTGCCGTACTACCCTAGGCAAGTCATTTACCCTCTCGAGGCCTCAGTTTCCTCATCTGTAAAATGGGTTCTATGACCTCCAAGGGCCCTTCCAAGCTCTAAATCTAGAATCCTCTGAGTTAAACAACCTAGGTTCAAATCCCTGTTCCAAAGGTGACTGGCTAAGTGATTGTGGGCAGGTCGGCCTCCGTGAGCTGATAATAATATTGCTACTTGGCTTTTTCATGGAGTTGTTTGGGGGAAGGCACTTTTTTAACCTTAGCGTATCATAGAACCGATGGTGATATGGTTGTGTGAGCATAGTGTGAGTGACCCACTTGGGCAAGTGATAGCAGTGGAGAACAGTGGAGTGTGGTATCATTTGCCACTGCCTTGTCCAGAATATGCACAGGCTCCAGCCTGCGTGTACCTGTGTGCATCCACGCTTCTGTGGGGAGGTGGAACATCGGGTCACAGAACTGACTAATTTAGAAGCCATCTAATCTACCCTTTCGTTTTACTGGGGTTAAGTAGCAGAGCTGGGATTGGAATCTAGGTCAGGGTGTGACAGGGAAGGAAACGAGCATTTATTAAGCACCTACTACATACCAGGCACTGTGCTAAGTGTTTTACAAATATTGTCTCATTTGATCCTCACAACAACCCTGGGAAACAAGTGCTATTATTATCCCCATTTTACAAATGTGGAAATTGAGGCAGACAGAAGTTAAGTGATTTGTCCAGGGTAGTGTGTCTGATGCTATATTTGAACTCAGGTCTTCCTGATTTTACACTTAGAACTCTACGCACTAGCTGTGGTTATGATCATAGAATCATAGCAGCACTTTTTTGGGGGGGGTGAGGCAATCGGGGTTAAGTGACTCGCCCAGTGATCGTAGAATCATAGAATTATAAACCTAGAAGTGAAAGGGACCTTCAAAGTCATCTGGTCCCCCTCTTCATTTTACAGAAAAAGAAATTGAAGCCCATACAAGTTAAATGACTGGCCCAAAGTCATATCTATAATATATATAATATAATAATAATATATAATAATAATGTAATAAAAGACAAAGGCAAGATTTGAACACAGATCTCTGATTCCAAACCCAGTGCTGTTTCCACCGTATACTCCTCCATGTTGAGGAAATGGAGTGAAGACCAGATACAAAATGGGGCTGGTTTGGTGTGGGAATCAAGAGAACCAGCATGTTCCCTTGAGGGGAAGAAGCTGGGAGATCCATCAGTAGACCTTGCCCTCCACCCCTCCAGAACTGAGGATCCCTTCAACCTGGGGACAGGCTATGCAAGAAAGAGGATGAACTTGACCTGCTAGGGGCCCAGTGCCCTCACTGCTGCCCAAACTGGTTCCTCCTGCCCCACACAGCCCCCATCTGGCTGGTCCCTGCAGAGGCCAGGCCTGGGTGATACACACCCACCCTAGAACCAGAAGTATGTCGGTGTATAGGAAATGGGGTCATGGGGTCATGAAGAAAAGGGTTGGCTCTCCTACAGCCAAAGTGGGACGGGTGGCAGGGGGTAGATACACTAGCTGTGAGATGGGGAAAGCAGGGAAAGGACGGGGAGGACAGGGAAAGGAAAGGGATAGGGAACAAGATTCATATCCTGTGGGACATGGACATTCTGGCAAGGACCAGGGCATCCTAAAGGGAGACTAGAGATAGCTCCCACCGTGGTTTTGCCTTGGCCTCCAGGCTCCCCCTCCCACTACCAACTAAGCTGGGGAGATGTTCCCGCCCCACTGCAGTCTGGCCCCAAACCTTAGAGCCGCTGCCGCCAGGCCCCTGGATAAGGGCCTGGAAACTTATGCAGACTCATCAGATTTTCCAGGCTCCAGGCTCAGGGGAATGGGGCTGGTGAAGGGGGAGATAGGCAGGGAGGCTGCCGCTAGGCCAAAGAGGAAGCCTGCTAACCTCATCCCATGCTTGGGCCCCCATATCCAGCCAGGCCTTGGTTCCCCCACCCTTTTTTTTTAAACAGGACTTTAAAAGAGAAGCAAAGCAATGGAGAAAGAGGATGACGGCAGTCGTACTGGGACAATGGAGCAGGCTTGAATGGAACCCAGGGCAGGGGTCTCTGGGCCACATTGAAAGAGGCCCCTCATTTGGGCAGGGAAAGAGGACACGGATGAGGGGAAGCATAAGTAAATGTCAAGCCCAACTCTTGTGGCACAGAACGCTCTGTGTGTGTGTGTGTGTGTGTGTGTGTGTGTGAACATGACACAGACACCTGGCTTATTGTGCTGTTCCTGCTGCCTCCATGATATCTCTAGCACTGCCCTGATGGGCGGGGGGAGGGGGGAGGGAGCAGTGCCAGGGCCTGGACCCAACACCAGCCTGTGAGCCTCAGGAGGCCAGACCCCAACAAAGAGCAAAAATATAAGGCGACAGGAGACAGAAAACAAGCCCCCGCCCACTCATACAGCAAGCAAGGTCCTCAAGGGACCAGAAGCTATCCCTCTCAACTTTGACTCTTTCTCATGAGTCCTTCCAGGATCTCAAAGCACTTTGCTAGCTGCCTTTCAATGAAAAACAGTCAGCATGTAGGGGGAGCGGGTCTAGATTCCTAGGTAGCCAGGGGTCCTGGCTCCCAAACATGAGTCTGACCTTACCGCTCCCAGTCAGCTGTCCAGCCTTGGCTCTTGACATTCTGTCCGTGGGTCCTTCCTCATAGCCTTGATCTGGTGATTCAGGCATCCCCCCACAGGAGGAGGGTGAGAATAGTCAGTGAGAGGCTAGAGAAGCTTGCAGTACCAAGTCCCACACCCTCTGGGCCTTCCTCCTATTCTGACCTGGGGGCAGAGGAAAAGAGGGACCTGAGATTTGTGTGTGTACCTGTGCTGTGCTTATGGACATGTTTATATTTGTGTGAATGTGTGTATTATATGTGCGAGGAGGGAATGAATGTACATGCTATGAGTACATACGTACATATGTCTGACAATGTATTTCATGTGTGCGTGTGACAACACTGAAATGCATGTCTATAAGCGAGGATGTGCGCATGTGTGTGCTGAGCATGTATGAGATTTTCTGTATTTTATGTGTACATAGTATATCCATGTGTGCTCTTCGCCTGTACTTATATCTGTAGCACCTAGTACAGCGCCTGGCACGTAGTAGGTGCTTAATAAGTGCTTGTTGGTGGGCAGCTAGGTGGCACAGTGGATAGAGCGCTAGCCCTGGAGTCAGGAGGACCTGAGTTCAAATCTGGTCTCAGCCCAAACACTTGACACTTACTAACTGTGTGACCCTGGGCAAGTCACTTAACCCCATTGCTTAGCAAAATAAATCAATAAATCAATAAATAAATGCTTGTTGGTCTAACATGAGTGTATGCGAGTATGTGCTCATGTAAGCGTAAATGTATATTTTATGGTATGGATGAGGTTACTGTATACACACGTGTTGGGCATTTCTGTCCCAAAGTTACTTCAAACTCACCATGTCCAAAACAGAGCCTATCTACCAAATTTCTCTGTTTCTATGGAAGGCATCACCCATCTTCCAGTCTCCCCGGCTCAGAATACCAGTGTTATCCCTGTCTCCACATTCTCTTTTACCCCACGTCGATCGCCAAACCTTGCCATTTCTACCTTCGTCCACATTTTTCACATCTGACCCCTTCCTTCTACTCACACGGACCTGCCTCAGTCCAGGCCCCCATCACTCCCCACCTGGACTCTTCCAATGGCCTCCTCCTTCATCGTTCCCCCATCTCTCCAGTCTCTCCCCACCCAATCTTTCCTCTACCCCTCCCCTCTGCAATAAACTCCAGCGTCTCTCCATTGCCTCATATTTATAAAACATAAACACTTGCATTTCACAAGATGGTCCCAACCAATCTTCCCAGCCTCGTTTCTCATCCTCCCTCTTTCCACTCTCTACAATCCAGCCCAAATGGCCTTTTCGACGGTCCTCCCTCCATCTACCTTTGCTCTGGACAGTCTATGATCCTGAAAGGCCTGCCTTCTCACCCTTGCTTCACAGACTCTCTTCATTCCTTCTGGACTCAGTCCCAGCATTCCCTTCTACCTGAAGTCTTTCCTGACCCACCCCCAAAGAGTTGGTGCCCTCCCTCCCAAACTACTTCTATTTGTTCTGCATGTTTTATTATAATATGCACATATCGTCTCCCCTATTAGAATGGAGACTTCTTGAGAGTAGGGACCATTTCATTTTTTTGTCTCAGATCCCCAGTACATAGGCTAGTGCCTGGCACATAGCAGTTGCTGATTGATTGATTGATTCCAGGGTGTGTATTTGTATGTCTCAAAGAGTTGAGGCTATGGATAACAAAGTGCCAAATTCTGGGATTGACAGGCTTGCCTTGGTTTTGTCTGGGTGAGGGGTCTCAGCCTTAGGGGGAAAAGGAGGCGGGATACTGAGGCTGCTGCTGCTGGTGCTGCTGCTGCCTCAGTCCTCCAGCTGAGTCACCCAAGGCCAGCAGAGGGTACCAAAGAGCTTGGGCACTGCCTTAGCCCAGTGCTGGGGGAAAGAGCTACAGACTGCTCATGGCCCTTGCGAGGCTAAGCCCAAGTCCCTGGTGACCCTGGGTTTTGCAGGATCCCTCTCTGTTCAGGGAGGGTCAGACACTGGCAGGGGGAAGGGGATACTCAGATCCACAAGGGAAGGTGGGGCTTGGAGGAGAGAAGCTGGCACCACCACCACCACCACCCCTGGCCACAAGAAGGCATAGAACACAAGCCATGGGGTCCAAGCTCCCTCCTCTGGGGGCCCATGTTACCCCACCCCTAGCATGGCCCCAGAGAGGTGCCCGACTGGCCTGGGGAAGGCCAGACTCGTGGGCCCACCCAGTCATACTCATAGTCCCTGTCCCAGAGTCCTCTCCCTACCTCTTCTTGGTTGGGTCCTCCTTGCTCCAACCATCACACCAGCAAGACAAGCCTGAGCGGGCACAGGAGTGGGGGGGGGGGCACGGCGGGAGCATCTGTACCCAGGCTAGCCCAGCCTCTCCACCCCTAGGACCTGGTGGGAAGGGCACGAGGGGCAGGGAGCAGGGAGAAGATGAGGCAGTTCAGAAACAATAAGCCTGGACTCTTGGTATCCAGAGCTACTACATTGGAGAAACTGAGGCTGGGGGTAGAGCAGAAAGGGAAAGGGAAAGGAAAAATACAGGCCTGAGGAGTCCCGGGCCCCAACAGCCGAGCCAGCCCCTGAGCTGTCCTTAACCTCACCTCAAATCCTATGGGGCAGCTGGCACCCCCTGTTCCTAGGGGCTGGTGCCAGCCTGCAAAAAAAACTCCCTGCACTTGCCCTGCCCCAGAATCCTGGTAAGGGTTTGCCAAGGCACAATGAATGCTGGGAACTCTGCAGAAACCCTCATCTCCTCCATCCCCAGCTCCCCTAGGAAGGAAATTGGATAGTCTCAGCCCCAGGGGGTCTTGGAGGGAGGAGGGCAAGTCAACTGCTCCTAGGCCAAGGGCGGAATGAAAGGACACAACCCCCGTGGCCTGGGCAACTCCAGGGACATCTCTTCCAAGCTAAAAGACCCATTCTCCAGATGGAACCAAGGAGGATTGAGGGTTCTAACTCCCTTCTCTCTGAAATATTCCCAGATAACTTTGAAAGGACTGTTTCATTCTTAGCATTTGTATCTCCAGTGCCCAGCACAATACCCGGGCACATAGTAGGTGCTTAATAAACACTGGTTTATTAACTTGCCATGGGCAACTCACTCCCTGAAGTTAAGGTAAGCAAACTGTGCAGCCTGGTTTTGTACAGCACAGAAAGTGGGCTGGATTTGGCCTAGGGGCCGTAGTTTGCTGACCCCTTATCTAATCTAACCCTCCCCTCATTTTATCAGTGAGTAATGAAGAGAAATGAAGTGAGTTCACAACTGTCAGGCTGCTAGTAGTAGTAAGTGGTAGTGCTGGGGTTGAAACTCACTCCATTCAGTATTCCAAGCTGCATGTCCTCTGCTCCCACCCTCACTGTTCTAAGTTGAAGGCTACTGGAACCCTAGTCCCACACTAGGAGGGTGAGCCCAGGGGAGACAGAAGGGCAGATTTATCCTGCCCAGGTGTCTAAGTATCCCGGGGGAATGAAGAAGGCTGGGAACAAGAGGGACAACCAGAGACTCCCGAGGGGAGCTAGGATACACCAGGTGCAGGGAGTGGATCTCCTTCTGCCTGAGCAGCTCCCTCCCTCCCACCTATCCCGCCCTCATCTCCCCAGGAGGCCCCAGGACCTGAAGCTGAGCGCCCACACACAAACCACCGGCCAGCTGAGCTGGTGAGGACCAGACTGGGGGTTCAGCACCATGGAAACACTCAGGGGGGGAGGGGAGACCTCGGGTGAGGATGGGGGGAACTCGCCGCTTCCTCCTCCCCGCCCCCCCTGTGGCATCCTAGCTTCCTGTTCCTGATTACAATCAGCACCCTGAGGAGGTGGCCCCTTCTCCACTCCCCTTTCCCCTCCCCAACCCTGAGAAGTCTGACTGGAGCAGAGTGGTAGGACCATAGATGTGAGGAGGGGAGACTCCTAGGACCCAGCCCTCCAGGGCTAGGAGGCTCTCCTTTCCCGCCTAATTCAGGGCCAACGCTGGAGATGTGAGATCGTAGAGGTTAGAGCTGGGGGGACCTCAGAGATAATCTTTCACCCCCTTCATTTTATACATGAGGAAATGAAGATCTCTAAACGGGAAGTGACTTGCCCAAGGTCGCAAAGATAGCAAAGAAAACATGGTCCTTCAAAAGGCAAGTCTCAAAGAGGGACAATTAAACACCCCTGTGAGCAGAGCATTGGATTCTCAACCAGAGAGTGTGGGTCTGAATGCTGTCTCTGCTCTGTTCTCCAGATCTTTGTCAGGTAGCAGCCCCTCTCTCAGACTTAGTTTCCTCCCTAGTAAAATGAGGGGGC